TAAGAACATTAATTCAAAATGATGCTCATTACGTTAAATTATAAAGAAAATATTTATGTTCAATAAATGTTCATAAATTTTATTAAAAACAAGATGCCTACAGCCACTCGAAAATTCCTTTGAAAGACACTGTTATTAGTTCTGATCTTCTAAAAATTTTGGCCCAAACAGTACGGAAGTATTGAAAGTTGATGATTTCGCTTGAGGGCAAAGGAGGCTCACCTATGAATCATACGTTTAAACCTATACTGTTAAACTCCCATTTATACAGCAAATACAAGAGTATGCTTTCAAGATAGTCGGCTTTAAAAAATCATAAGGCTCATGCGACCATTTTCGGTTCTGTCCATATATCCATATGGTAGTAACCTACACAGTTCACGATATGGAGACGAGGACAATATGATCAGACCGAAATCGATCAGAGTCCTAGCCTACCAAAGCGCTATAGTGGAGATGATTTATTCTCACCGTCAATATCGGCAGCAATGAAGGCTGCTAAATGATACAAAACTGGCTGATTAACGGGGCAGTGGTAGCCGGAAATAATAGTTAGATATGCCTTTGATACCAAGCTATTAAGCGAAGCGTCGAATACACGGTAGGGCTAGTACAACAGTGGTAATGAGATCGACGTGAGTTACGGCCTCAGTAATAAGGATGTACCAAAACAGTCATGGCATCTCTGAAAAAGGAAGGAATGGTTTAAATCTATTGTTTATTCTATCTTACAATCAGCGTAGCTGAGTTAGTAGTGTCTCACTCGTTCAAATGTCTCAGGAAAGAATTTAGGTCAGGTCATTCTCATTTGATCGTTTCGATCGAAAGTGATAAACGAGCACTGCATCAACAAAAAGGGGCAGAAGGGTACAACCTGCAATGACCATGTGGCTATAGGTATTGACTGCAAGGACTATGTATAAGAGAGATACGTAAATTGAAAGTATGTATTCTTTCATTCATGAGACATACGGTGACGTGCTGACTAGTGCGCAAAGGAATCGCTAAATTACTAATACTCACGGCCTAATTCAACTAAAGTTAATTTACATTAACAGCGCAGGAAAGAATGACCGATAGAGCTCACTACATGCATCCCTCCGGCAAAATAAAGATAATAAAGATAATCATGGTGTCGTAAAAATGTCAAAGGAATATAAATGGGCACACTGAAGAAACCGTACAAAAACAAATGAGCCCCCTTTGTAAGCTAGCATTGCTCGCATCCGTTGAAGAGAAAGCATTTCAGGAGAGCTCGATCATCAACCGCATCTCTACTGTTAATCTTAGCGGGCACCCACTGATTCTACTCCCTTCAGTGAAGACACGAAGAAGCAAAAAGAAATTAAATTACTAGCAGACTGACGATGTGAAGTAATAAATACAGAGCAATAAATATGACCGCGAGTGTCGACAGTCCACGTCAGAACAAAGTCAACAACGGGCTCACCTCCATTTCCCACTGCACCAGCGAATCGGTGTTCGGGTCGCCATGAACGCACAACAGCAGGTACTTTTCGCGCTGTTCGTAATCACAGTTGTTCGTATCGAGCACTTTGCGAATCTCCTTCATCATTTCCTCGGGGGCAAGCGAGCTGGTCGTCTTCATACTCCAGGTGAATCGAAGGCTGCGCGGTTTCACGTCTGACAGGTCACCGACGCCGGTGTGCTGAACACCGTAGCCGCCGCCTACCCCACCGAAGGTGCCACCACCGCCACCGGTTTCAAAGGACGAAATAACGGTCGCATTCGGTGACGATGTCACGTAGTTGATGCCGCCGATCGCGTGACGACAGCCGTCCGCCCCGGCAACCGCCCTGCGAAAAGAGGATGATGACGAAAGATCGGGTGGTGCCATGGAACCACTAAATTTTTCTGTCAACACTACAGAAAAGCCAGGCAAAACAAAAGAGCAACTGAAAATAATAAAACACGCATAGACACATCAAAAACACGCAAACGTAAGTCTGCGTAGAGCATCCATAAAACGAAGCATCATTCATGGCTACTTGTATGCCGTAATGAAATTTCTTTTTAAAAACTTTTCAGAACTCCAGGTTGAACATTGCACTGTCCCCAGTTGACGTCTTAAACAGACAGCGGCTCCAACGATAAGACAACATCGTCACGTTTATGGAAACTAGGCAAGAACACGGGGATAGATTGATGACAAGACATATTCTGTTAGCAAAGTCACATGCAGGCGCCAAAACATAGACGTAGGGTAAAATAGCCTTGGATTAATGAACACATGGTATCGTCTAGGCTTCAAATTCAGCCCATGAAACTTTTCACATCAGCGGAGAGCCGAGGTCATCAGAAAAAACCAGAAATCTTCTCGTCAACAACACTAAGCGGAGAGAAGAAATTGACGGAAGGACGATGATCACGATTAACCTATGTAAAAATGACCTTTTATCTTTCACGACCACTAAACATTTATTTTCCTTTGTAATCTCTTAAGCTAATAAAATTGTAGTGTCCAATAAAGCTAATCACTCTAATAAACTTCCTCGTAAATTTGGCTAATCTCCTTGCCCCATGGGCCTACATGCTCATGAAAACTAAAACCACTGATGAAACTGAAATCTACTTTATTTGATGCCATGTTAGCAATGCAAAAAAAACGCTGGGCAATGGGTGATATATTTCTGAATAACTATATGTTGTCTCTAATCATACTTTGTTGAAAACCCTATTCCGCCACTACACCAACAGCAGAGTTCGCTACAAACTTCCAAAGCTTAGAGTGGTCG